CTACAGATAGTTCTCTACGGTAATCTGACAAAACAAATTATAGTTTATTTTTTGGACCCATTTGGTCTTCACAAGCCAGGAAGAGAAAGAGCAAATATGGTTAGAGCTGAGAGAAGAGGAAAAGGTACCTAGGCATGGAATGAATGAATGAATGAATGAAGGAAGGAAGGAAGGAAGGAAGGAAGGAAGGAAGGAAGGAAGGAAGGAAGGAAGGAAAAAGAAATCCTGTTTAAGGTTAAAATACTAAAGTCACTTGATAATCAGCTTGCCCAAGCAGCATTAATATTTAAAGGAATCCACATTTTCCACCAGATCTTGTCTGTTTCTTGTCTTCAATAGCTTTGATTCGTACTAGCAAATTTAAAACTATCACCTGAAATCCCAGATAATTATTTGAGAACGTAACTGCCACTTTCTATAGGATAAAAATGGTGCATGTATGTTCAGAAATGAGACCAAGATATGATCCATTTAAAATGTCTACTATTAAAACTGCCTGCCTGTTAAAACTACTGAGAGAAACTGACTTGGTAAACTTTGGGTTGATATTGGTGGATGAGATAAGATTTTCTCCTCCATTGACTCCCAAGACAGTTCTTTTCATAACTAGATTATTTCTTCTGTCCTTCATTATGAAGACTACAACGAATGAGAAAATTGTCTCAGCTCACATACACTTTCTAACAATTCTCTTCTGCCTTAAAATCTAAGAAAACGTATAATTAAAGAAATATTATGTGCCCTTAAAGGACACAATTAAAGCTAAGCCATGCTGAAAATAGAAGAACTCCATGGGATTGACCTACATTTAAACATTACATTTGCAGCTTTTTCAAAATTTAACAGATAAATGAAGCTAAAAGACAAGTTACTGCATTTTTTCAATAGAAAAGAGGTAGATACTATATGCTAATGGGTATAAATATCGAAAGGGGAGCTTGTTTTAGATATAAGAGGGAAATGTTCTTAATTTCAGTCATTATTATCCTACAATAATTTTTATGTGGCGTTCACCAAAATTAGATATGTGCTTTTATACTGCAGCAAGTTGAAGTGAATCTAAAATTATATCAGGGCAGAATTGCTTCCATCTATACATTCCACTACAAAAATTTTGTGTTCTATGAACACAGTGATATTTTTTCTGAAACATTAGCAGTTTTTTTTCAGAATTGAAAATGACTATTTCTGTGGTAAATTCAAAATTATTCTGTTATAAAAGTGCAAATAATGCCACTTTCTAATTTTAGAAAATAACTGTATAAAGTGACAATTAAGGATAGTCATACTAATATTTAAATATGGCCTTATATGTCTGAATAAAAATATTACAAAAGTGACATTTATTTTTAAATTTGTTCCTTACTATGTTTATAATAGAATTCCCCCCTTTTACATCTGCAGCAGATATTTACTTTATTGATTTATAGAAATACCGCACTCTTCAGGTCCCTTGACATTTTCATTATAGATTCCTTTTCTTGCCAATTCTTGATAGTTATAACATTTTAGATATATTTTGTTATCCTGTTTAATGTCTTTTTTAATCTGAACTGATCCCACCCTTTTCTATTTATTACCAATACCTCTGGGGGACAGGGAAAACTGAGACTAACATCTGAAGGTAAATGCAGCGCTGAGGACTAGAGGTTTGCTTTACAATTTGCTAACTTTCCAGTTTAAAACCATTTTCTTTTTTGCAGATTATTTTAAACTTATTATCACAATAAAAAAAATATTTTGCACATTCTTATACATGGTGTGAAACAGGGAATTAATTTCCTTCTTAAAATATAGGAAAGTGATGTCCTTCCATGATGGGCCTTCAGAATAAACGTTTTTCTCCTACACAATGAATTACATAGTTTTAATTACCACAGGATATTGTGATGGCTCACAACCAAAGTTCCTTGTAAGTTCCTATAAAGAACATTATAAAAATAAAGAGTAGCTGTAATCACTGAACAACACTTCCAAGTGTCAGTGGCATATTGCTCAAATGTATCATTTGTTGAAGAATAGAGGGAGATAGTTATTTCTGCAAGCATCAAGTTAAGCACGGTGGGAAACGGGATGCTAGGATAGAAATGCTTAGATCTAATTCAGCCAGGTTTCTCTTCTATGGGAAGCAATATTTTGAGAAATGTAGTTGCCATAACAACCTCTTTTTAATATTACCAATGAAACTGGAATTCATGTACAATCACATCACTAACATTCTTATTTCTAATACTCTTCTGTCAGCATAATCTCATAATCAATATATATATTATATATATAAACTGGAAGAAGGATGTAAATTAGAAAGTAAATTGGACTGCTAAAATGTACTATAGAACAATGAGCGTATTTAAGAGAACATTCTCGCTGAACAAGGAGTTACAGCCACAACAATTTATTATAAATGAATTAGTGTGTCGGTTTTTTAATTTATTAAAGAGTCCTTCATCTCAGCACTTTTTTTCTTCCCAAAAGCTGGTGGGGAAAGTAATAAATTATCTAGTTAGTGACCAAATGCTCATCTTCACGCCAAAATACTAGTCTAGCCATTAACACATTACTTAGTAGTTCTACTGACAGAAAATAAGCATCCTTAAGATTATAGTCACAAAAAAAGACTGACACATTTTTCTCAACAGCCTTGTGGAAATTATACACAAGGAATTAGCAGCCATTCTCTGCAGAAACAAACAAGCAAATAAACATAAACCTCTAGAGAGGAAGTGGTAAATACCTTCTCATTCACTCATGATCTTCCTTTAAATAGCCTACCTTCCTAATGTATGAATTGGAGAGTACTTGAACATCTGGGCTACTTGAGAAAAAGATAATACAAAAACAGCTGTCTGTGAAGGAACATCCTTCTGAATGTTAAGCTTGTTTAAAAACTGCCCAAGAGTGGGGGGGGGGGGGGGGGAAACCTCCTGTTATTGCAAAATGGGCAACAGAAATAGAGAGATAATTTTAAGCCTATTTGAAAATAACAGCAAAATCAATATGGGTGTGGAATTTTGTTGAGGGAACTCTCTTTAGGATGGCTATTTTCTTAGAAAAAAACATTGTGTCCAAGCATTAGCAAGTTTCTAATTTCAAACATTTGATAAGCAACTTTTTAAGGAATTTGATGGCTTAGGGTGAAAGCCTGCATATAACATCAGAATAGACCACGGCTGTCAAACTCCTGGCACATGGGACAGATGTGTCATGGGCTGACCACATCCATGTCCAGTTTAGCAAAGGGGAAAAAAGTCCCGATATGTCATGTGACACCCTGATGTGAGTTTGACACCCCTAGAATAGACTGTGGAAATAGAAAGAGAGTACACCAATAGATTTGACAATATTTTTATTTCTTAGAAATTCATGAGATAGGAGGCGTATCAAGATTGCAACCACAGTTGGGGACTAAGAATCAAATGAATGACAGCTGCAAGGCAAGTTCTGATAGTGATTGGTGAGTAGCTTTAGTGTCCTCCATGAAAAATCAATACATTCAAATATGTTAATTACAAACTCAGTTATCTTTCACTGTTTACTATAATTGGGGTTGAAGTTATCTCACCTTCAGGTGCATCTGCATCACAGTCTTTGGATGTGTATGTTGTTTCATTGTTCAAATGTCCTTCAAATGTCTTATTAGTCTGCGCAAAGAAGACATGAATTGAGGGTTATTTCATAGTAGATGTAAGATACTAATGCCATTGACACATCATGCATTTTACTTGGCGCAACAAGCACCATGAACCTTTTTTCTTTAAAAAGAGATACAGATAGTCCTCAACTTACAACAGTTGATTTGGTAACCATTCAAAGTTACAACAGCACTGAAAAAAGTGACTTATGACCGTTTTCCACACTTACAACCATTGCAGCATCCTCATAGTCATATGACCAAAATTCAGATGCTTGGCAACTGACTCATATTTATGACGGTTGCAATGTTCAGGGGTCATGTTTTTGTGACCTTCTGCAACTTTCAAACAAAGTCAATGGGGAAACCAATTTCAGTTAGCAACTGTTACTAACTTACTAATTGCAGTGATTCAATTAACAACTGTGGCAAGGAAAGTCGTATAATGAGGCAAAACCCATTAACAAATGTTTCACTTAGCAATAGAAATGTTGGTCATAAGTCAAGGACTACTGTATTNTATATAATTCAAAATAACGTTATTCAGAGTTGCAAATATTTACAAGAAAATATAGTGGTACCTTGGTACTCAACTACTTTGAAACTTATTGAATTTGGTACTCAACGCAGTTTGACATGAACATTTTGTCCTGGTATTCGGTGTTGTTTGGTATCCAATGCAGAAGCTATAACTTGTCAGTGTCAGCTACGTTATTCCTTATGGGAAAATTGTGTTTGGTACTCATTGTGTCTCCTGGAACCAATTAAGGATGAGTACCAAGTTACCACTGTATATATTTCACTCACCAAGGGCATCAACTTCTAATTCATCCATCTATGACCTCATTACTCTATTTCCCAAGGTCAGTGATTGTATCTTATGCCAATGACCTCACATCAAACATGGAGATGCCCTTAGTCCAAACAAAAATTTCCTCTTTATTAAAAAAACCCTCACAGCATAGACACCCAAAGAAAAATTAACAATATTTGCTGTAGAATTGTCGACATGCCTGAGATTAAATATTGAACTAGTTCATACTATTAAATTACACCACATGAAATCCTCTTCCCCAATAATTTAGATGAACTCTTAAAACATTTCTATTTCAAAAACCCTTTAGTTTGCTTTTTTGCTATTCTTATTTATTATTAAATGCAGCACTTGCCTTTCTGCTTATATAAGCATTCAAGGTATATTATATACAATAGATAATACAAATTTTTAAATTTGATCGTCTCGTCAACACATTACAGTAGGTTAACTATCAAAATACTTAACAATTTAGAGCTTGAAAAAGAGATGTAAAAACACATTTCTTAATATCTGGAAAGTGGGACTCGCACACCTCTCTTTAGTCAATGCATTGTGGGAACAGCCGCAGCGGAGGCACCATTAAGGGGATTATGCTGCTAGTTGAAGTAACTAAGCAGATTTATATAGACTATCCCTCTACAAGATAATTTAAATGGGTTCTCACTCTTATTTTACATTTCAAGCTTGTAAACTACCTTGAAGGCCACTTTCAAAGCTGAAAAGGGTGGCACATAAATAAATAAAACGTGTAGAAAAAAGCCCAAAATGTAAACTGAAATCTAATTCTGCAGCGAAGGAGCTTTATTATCCTGAGCCAACTACTATGCTTTATGTGATAAGAAATAACACACAAGAAAATCAAAGCAGCATATACCATGCCATACGCAAACCCCTCCCCCCTGCTGATTACCTGAATTAAAGAAAATGAACAGTCCTACAGATAGTTCTCTACGGTAATCTGACAAAACAAATTATAGTTTATTTTTTGGACCCATTTGGTCTTCACAAGCCAGGAAGAGAAAGAGCAAATATGGTTAGAGCTGAGAGAAGAGGAAAAGGTACCTAGGCATGGAAGGAAGGAAGGAAGGAAGGAAGGAAGGAAGGAAGGAAGGAAGGAAGGAAG